CCACATGATGGATGCATTAGCGGCAGGGACTCCTCCTGGATGATGTGCTGCCTTAGCGAGTTCTTTATTGCAGCATTAGCCGCAGACTGGTCTCCAGAGAGCCATTAGATTGAAACACGTCTGTTAATTAATAGCCAGGAGGGCTCATTTCTAATCCCAGAGCCGTGTGTACACCTTCCCCTGCCCCAACCACTGTGCAGCAGCGTGTGTGGCACAGGAAAGCCCTGCGGAGTGCTTAGGGCCCTGTCCTGGAAGAAGATGAGGCCCTGAGGCCCTGCAGGTACCAGTGAATTATCCTCTGTCTGTGCCCCTCTCAGGGGTCTCAATCCTGCAAGCTGCAAAGCTCCCATTGGAGCTGATAGGTGGAGCAGCTGTTCTGCACCTCTCAGGATCAGGCATTAAAGGAGTGCTTAGGCCCTGATCCTCAAACATATATAGGTGCCTAACTCCCATTGAAATCTGTGGGAGTTAGGTGCTTAAATGTCTTTGAGGGTCTGGGCCTCAGTGCCTCCCTGTATCCGGGTGGATCAGGCCCAGAGCAGGAGATTTTTCAAGGGGCATACTTGGTAGCAGAGATGGGCCAGACCCATTTATCCGACACCCATCCCTCCACCCCCGCACCCCTACCCTGAGCTGTGGGGTTCAGAGAAAAGAGGAAGGATAGTACTATAGTTAAGGCCCTGAGACCCAGGCTCAATTCTTAGCTCTGCCACAGACTTCCTCTGACCCAGGGCAAGTCCCCTCATCTCGCTGTGCTTCAGTTCCCACCTGTGAAATGCAGAAGATAATCCTCCCTTTCACCCACCCTTCCTCTGTCTATCCTGCCTATTTCGATTGTGAGCTTATTGGGGCAGGACCTGTTTCTCACTGTGTGTTTGTACAGCCCCTAGCACCACAGGTTGGAGCCTCTAGCCACGACAATAATCAGATAATAATAGACATCCACAGCGTACCCCTCGTTTGGTCCTCCTCTTGTCTTGAGTCTCTAGGAGATGCCCAGGTGGTTCAGGGTTATCCAGCATGGCTGGGCATGCTGTCAGTGGTATAGGAGATGCTCATGGAAAGTGCACATGCGGTTTAATGATGCCACTTCAGGTTTTTTCTAGTATCTATTTGATGGTGTTAGATTCTCTGCTGGTGTAAATCGTGACATCAGTGCTAGTCAACGCCACTGACTTCACTGGCGCTACCAGCTGAGGCGCTTCAGCAGTCGACCAGCTGAGGGTCTGGCCCAGGATGTGTTCGACTCTATTGGTGTTTAAGTGACTGTGGCACGTTCTTAGTGCCAGGACCTGCTTGGGGAGCATTTCTTGTTATTTTTATTATTGACTATTATTTGATCAATTGCCCTGTGGTAGCGCCTAGGAATCCTAGTTATGGACCAGGACCCCGCTGTGCTAGGCGCTGTACAAATGCAGAACGACATATTATTAAGCATTACTAAAATCTGTAGTATTTTTATAGCCTCATCATTAGTCTGGACCCTGCCTCAGTTTACCTACGGTGGTCACCCTTAATAAATTACCCATTGCCAACAGTTATCACAATCTTGTCCTCTACTTGTTAGGGGTGTGTGGCTGGCAATGGGTGGGATGCGTCCATATCTCATCTCATGCCGTATAAATCTGGGCAGTGGGTGAGGGACCAATTAATATTAAGGGGAGGGGCTGTGATTCTTTGGGAGGAGGAGCTAAATTCAATAACCTTTTCCTCAGTACATCACTTCTTGCATTGTTTAAATAGTTAGATTATGACAATCCTTCAGCAAAAGGGAGGACGTTTATCTCGTGATTAAAGCACAAGATGGCGAGCCAAGAGCGCTGTATTCCATTCCTCTCTCTGCCATTGGCATGTTCAGTAACTATGGGAAAGTCACATGACTGGGCTGTGCCTCAGTTTCCCCATCTGTTAATGGGAGCTAATAATACCCCTCACACAAGGAGATCGTGAGGCTTATTTAATAAATATCTGTAAAAGTGCTTTGAGGTCACTGGTCTTCGATGCTGCAAAGTATGTTTATTAAGATATTAACATGGCCTGATATATAACACAGTAAGGGATTATGCAACCCAAGTAACTCCTTTGGCACAGGGGATTAATGTTTAGTCCCAGCAGTGATGGGATGATAAAAGCAGGTCATTTAGAATAAGATTTTCAAAAGTGACTGGTGATTTTTCAAAAGTGACCGGTCTCTATTTTTTGGTGGCCAAATTTGAGACACTTTAACAGGGCTTAATTTTCAGAGAGCAGGTACTTAGTCCCAGGTGGTCTCTTCTGAAAATCTTGGTGTTACATTATTCTGGTGTTATATAGGAGGAGAATTCTATAGCGTTGTTTCCTTGCTTTGGTACTGCAGGGTTATTCACTGAGTTCAAAGTGCGGTCTGATGTGGAGTAGAATTTCTTTTTATTATTACTCCACGTGTACACTTTCCCATGAATCCGTTGTTTGCAATCACAAAACTACTGTACTTACTGAACTCATGATAGCATTAGAGACAGTTACACGTTTGTCCCAAAACAATGGGTTATTTTCCTAAATATCAGTTCCTGGGGCTGGTTGAATAATTCAGAACAAATTAATTTGTCAAATTGTGCATCTTTTTTGGTTCGTGAAGCGTCTGCAAGTAAATCATGGTTTTCTCAAATGTCATGTTGTTTGAAATAATTTGCCAATACTTTCTAGACATTTTTCTTGGTCTGTAGCTTGCTCATAGGTAGTTTATTGTGAGTATTCAAACATCAAGCTGGTTTGATTGGCTACCTATACCATACACCATGTTTCTGTCCCCTGATTGCATGAGCTCTTAGACTCAAGATTCGGGTAGCAATACTAAAGATTCTGAAGTCAAAATGGACTTTATGAAGTTCACCTGCATCTCATTCAGCTGGAGATAGGGTTCTCAATACTTTTTAAAATCAAGTCCATGGCTTTTCAGCCTGACGCATGCAACATCATTGGCCACTTCTGAATATGTGGCCGTTCCTTGTGCTTATGATAATGGAGATAATCCTCCAAGTGTAACCAAGGCAGTGCTGCCTGCTGAAGTCCAACAAACTATTTGTTTCTGGAGCATCTTTATGTCAAGCTGTGTTTAGAGGTGACAGGAGATCTAGAAAACCGTGTAATTTAGCCCCTTTCAGAGGACAGGTGCTCAACTCTCTGAAGGTCCAACCCCACAAAGGTGTCTCAAGTTGGGCAGCCCAATTACCGAGGTACCCAAAATCACTAGGCATTTTGGAACTTTTAGGTCATTGTACTTGATTGAATTGAAGTCTAGGATCATTTTTATAAACATGTATAAATATACCAGGTGGATTCTGGATTTTTTGTTTGAATGAGTTTAGTGATTTTATTATTAATTGTTATTATTTATTTATTTATATTACCGTAGCCCCTAGGAAGGAGCCCCAAGTCATGGACCAGGATCCTGTTACGCTAGGCGCTGTACAAACACATTTGTAGGATGTTTTTTTTAAAGTACAATATACTTGGCAAAAACATTAATACTGTGAGATGTGCGGTTGATCTCAGCTCAAACCATGAAGGCTTTTTGCCATGATAAAGCATAATTTCTCTAGTTGCTTGCCATGAAAACAACAAACCTTAAACTTGATTCAAGGACATCTGTAAAAGCAATTTGCAATCTCTGGAGGGAAGCAGCTGTAGAAGGGCAAATTGCTATTATATTTGGCTTCCCTTTCGCTTTGGAATCAGTCAGTGTTCTGTATTCTTCAGTTGTCTGAGGTGATTTTCTGAGTCTTATCATTTGAATCCGCTAAGTAAGACAAATCCAGATTAGGGTTTCTCTTAAGAGAATTGCTAGAAAGAGCATCTGACAGATGGACAGGCGGCCAAGCAAGCAGAGACCATTAAACCTGGACTCTCAAGTTTCTTCTGAGATTTCCAAAACAAGGAAACATGGAATGTCTGTCTATGTGTACAGCACATACAGTTAGAGCTACCTTAGCTACACCAGAAAGCAATCTCTGAACTGATCATTTCTTGTTGATGGTTGTGCCTCACATTAAACAAAGCCAATCCCTGGTGCTGGTGTATGGAGTGGGGATAGAAAGGGGGCTCTGTAATTCTAGCTTCAAAAAGTAATGTATTTTTTAGATGACCTCTGCACATAATGTAATGAACTCATGTGGGTTTGGCATTGGCTACAATATGGGTGGGGGTCCACAAATTCTAGTACTTGAGGTTCAACCAGAGAGGGCCTCAGGCTATGAAGTTCAGATCCCAATGTTGCTGTCGTTCAGGAGGGGGTTGGGGTTTGAGTGTGAAATTTTGGTTCAAGTTCTGGTTCCAAGTCCTTTTGATTATTTGTATTTTTATTTTTTCACAGGGTTTTTTAATGCATCCAGGAACCAGTTGTGGGACCAAACTGAGCTGGTCTCCTGACAATAATTCAGTTGCTGACTGGTGGCTCCATGAGGAGACAAGGCCCGGCTTTGTTTAGGTCCATTAATGGCTCCCTGCTGCAAACATGTCCATGAAAAGTACAATGCAAGCACAACTGCTGAGCTAGGTGGGTTTATTTAGGTTCCTGTGGTGCCCAAGTGCACGGTCCTGGCTTTAGGACAAAACTGGCCTGTCAACGAACCATTTATAACCAAGGCCTTAATTCACTTCCTTTCTTCCAGCTCAAATCTAGAGTGATGCCAACCAGCTTCTGCCCTGTCCACTGTACTGAAACTGCCCTCCTCAAGGTCTCTACGTCTTCCTGACCAGGCCTCAGGGCCTGTACTCCATCCTCCTCCTGCCGTGCTGTTTCCTTTCCAGAGGGACCCAGCTGTGTAAGGGAGAGAGAAACACTTTCCTGATTAGTAGCAGCAGCAGTAGGGTGGGGCGGGGCAGGACAGCTGGCCTGTCACCCCCATGAGGCTAAGGAAGGGCCAGGATCCTTGAGCAACTGGAGGAGAGTTGCAGTCTCAGTCCAGGTCAGGACTATCACACTGGTTACTTTTCCATATTTCCTGTGTTTGTGTGGCAGACGAGTAAAACAGCCTGCGTCGAAGGCTCAGCCAGAGTTCGGACAGGCTCCCTGTTTTGTCCCCACGCTGGTGGCCAGGCCCACCAGACTACACTTTGATACTATTGCTCGCTGCCACCCCCGGACTGTCCTCCCTTGACTTTTGTGGCCCTGTGCGCCCTTCGTACTGCCTCATCTCTGACTGCTCACTCACAGCCACCTTTGGCACCTCTTCCTCCTCCCCCTCTCGGCTGGCGTCCCTGTGGGGTTTGTCCTTGGCCAGCTCCGTTTCTCCTCCCATGCCCTCTCCCTGGGTGACCTTCTCCATTCACATGAATTCAACAATTCTGGCTGTGCTGAGGACTCACAAATCTACCTCTCCCCCGCTGACCTGTCTCCCTCCTCTTGTCCTGCAGCTCAGCCTGTCTCGCCCATGTTCCCTCCTAGCCCAGTTTAACATGGCTAAAACTGAGCTCCTGAGGTCTACTCCTATTCCCCCAGTTTCCATGTCTGCTGATACCACCATCCTATGTCACCTGGGGTTGCAGTCTGGAGGGGGGTCATCGGGCCATATTTAAGTCAGGCCACTTCTTTCTCCACAACATATCTAGACTCCAGGGCTTTTTCTCTGTCCCAATGTCTGGAATGCTTACCCAGGCTCTGATTCTCTTCCATTGCAGCTCCTCCTGTCTGGCCACCCTGGCAACAACATCGCCCCCTCGGGGCCATCCAAAATGCAGCTACCAAACTGATCTTCCTCATGCATGGATCTGGTCATGTCAGCTCCCCACCTATTAGCTGCCTGGCATGCTACTTCAAAGCTAAACATCTCCCCCTTGTCTTCTAGGCCCTGCACAACACTGCTTTGGTCTGCATCTTGGACCTTGTCTCTTTTTATGTCCCTCAGATTCCACTCCACCAATGATACTGGCCTTGATGCTCTGTAGCTGTAGAGGTCATGCAGGAGACGGTCACGGCAATCAAGCTGAGAAGCCACTGAGGCATAGACAATGGCCACGAAGACAGAAAACACAGGACAGACTGTGGTGCTATTGTACAAGAAGAAACAACAGGATTCAGCAAGAGCTTGGATGAGAATGGAGGGGGAAGGGGAGCTAGAGAGTAATTGCTTTTTCCTGATACATCTTCCTGCTGCATATGGGCACCTGCAACCTTATTTAAGGCCCGAGCGAGAGAGTTATTAATAGGAACAGTGCAAGAAATGATGGCAGCTGACCTGCTTTATTCAGCTGGATTAAGCATGGGATTACTGGAGGAGTGTTTAGAAATGTTTACGAGGCTCTGTTGCTTTTTCATGTTGTTGTCTGTTGTTCCTTCCAAAGAGGAGAGTTTTGTGCAGGATTATTCAGCCTCAGAATAATACCAGCTGCAATGTGATCAGTGCAGAATTTGGAACAAGTGCACTAGAAATCAACAGGTCCTAGTATTCCCCATTTAGAAACTGATCAGCCCGTTTTTACCCTGGTGCTAAAAGAGGTGCTTGTTGGTTTAAATACAAATAATTGTTACAATAAAAATCTTTGAGAGAATTCTGACTGCATTCCATATGGCTGGAGGAGGAGAAGCGGGGAGAGAAGTGATGGTTGTAGACGCCCCTGGGGAGCTACGGGCAGTGTAAAATAATCTAAACAGATGGTTCATGGCCTCCTAAAGATTACTCCTCATTCCCCAGCATAACTTCCATGGTGCTAAATCCCATTAAGTTAGTGTTTAATAAAGTTCTCAATATCAAGAAGCAGCTAATTAAAGTCCTGATTACCTGCCAAACGTGCCCTTTAGTAACATACTTCCTGTCTCAGTTAGCCTCTCCCTCCTCATCTTCTGTTCATACTCTCTGTGACGTTGCACTCCATAATGTTTTATGGAAATATGCTTATGAGTGTGAATATAATGTAACTGGGTTATGCTTTATTCAAAAGGTCTCTTGTAAGGTATCATTATAAAGCTTATAATCTACTGAGTTCTGTTCATCCTATTTGTATGAATGTATCATTCTTGTATCTGAAACTAGGAATATGAAGTAGAACTCTGAGGTCCTACTGTAATTATGCAAAATGTGGGCCATAAATGGTGGTTTGGAAGCTTGATGGCTTCCATAGACTAGGACAATTGGTTGTAAATGGTCTGTTTACTTGCAAACCTTCCTGGGTGCGTGCGGTGGAAGAATGGAAGCTGGGGTCTCACAGGACATGTGAACATGTCACCTGATATTGGAATCCATTTTAAACCTGGTGCTTTTCCATTTAGAAGGAGGGATGGGGACGCAAAGAGACAAAAGATTCCCGCCTTGTGCAAAAGCTATAAAAGGGGGTGGAACAGAACAAAGGGGTCTGCCAGTCATGAGAAAACCCCTAGTTACCAGCTGATCTGGAACTAACAAGGACTGTATGAGGGAAAGGATTGGGCCCAGACTAGGAAGGAATCTAGTCTGTGAAAGACACTTATTGGAACATCTCTGAGGGTGAGATTTTACTTGTAATTAGTTTCTTAATATATTAGGCTTAGACGTGTGTGTTTTTGCTTTATTTTTCTTGGTGACTTACTTTGTTCTGTCTGTTATTACTTGGAACCACTTAAATCCTACTTTTTTTTTAATAAAATCACTTTTGTTTATTAATTAATCCAGAGTAAGTGAT